GAAACCAATTAAGTATATATATTCAACTCGGTACATTGCACAACATAGACATACCATTTCATCAGCAAGGCGAACCATTCCTTTGCGACTGGTGGTATGTGGAATCTGACGTTTCCGCAATGCTCTGAATTTGTCACTTCGTTCCTGCATTTAGTTTCACTGTGATTAATGTAACATCATTCCCACAAAACAACTATGTATTTCAATGGGAATATTTTAACAAAAACCACCTTGAAAGATTGACCGGTCTTCCTCTTGACCCATTGTATCCAAGCTGAGGCATTGTGAATGTTGCTTGGTTTTAAGCTACGTAGCTTTTCCTTACTCTTTGTAGCACGCAGTTCCCTCACTAGCCTAGACTTAGAACCTCTAAAAATGCAACCCATTTGTTGGAAGACAGATGTCTTTTGCCAGCCTTCTGTTAAATTGAACCTCGCCTACAACAGGTCCACCACATGTTATCAGTTAAAATACAGAGAAAACACTGTCAAAGTACAGAAGAAGAGCAGTTGTACCTGAACCTCTTCCCACATTGTCTCTTTTGTCTGCTCATCAATGTGCCTCCAATCGTCTAGAAGCACAGGGACGTACTCTCTCACAAGAGGGCCAAGGAAAGAAGAAAGTGCAACTGAGCCTTTACCAATAGGTTCACCTGCACTGTTAAACTCGACTCCCACCTTCTCCTCATGGCTTTTAGCCACTTTGTTCATCCTCGTTGGTCCTCTGGTTTTCTTCTTCTTGTTTCCACCTTGATCTTTGTCAAATTCTTGTTCTTGTCCTGCTTCCTGATCTTTTTTATTGTCCGGGTCAGGTCTTTCTTCACTTCCTTCAGCTTCTGTATTACCCCTATCTCCATTTGATAGTTCTTGGTTATTGATTCCCTCATCGTCTTCTTCACATTCTTCTGCAATAGGTTCATCATGATCGCTCTGAAGGACATTCTCAGGATCTTCATCATGCTTACTCTCAGACTCGTCATCGAAGGTATCCTCAGATTCTTGATCATCCCATACCTCTGCTATTCTTGCTCCTCCACATGACGCAAGGGTTCTTTTCCGGCTACAAGTCTTCACTTGATTAGGTGTTTCATCAATGCCTTGCTGACGCCTGCTGCGTCTTGGAATAATTGGGTTGGATTGCGTATTCATGTCTCTGTAATTAAACCAAAAAGAGTCATATTATAGTCTAAAGAACACAAATATGATATCTACTAATCCTATCCACCAATTCTAACTCAACTAATACTAACTCTACAGATGTGCCTAATTCATTACGTAGACCCCTTCACAGTCAACCCTAACACAGGAACTCTCATCATCTGAGATTTGATTCTCAAACTCTTCACATTGCTGACTGGCTGATGGTGGTGCGAGAATGGATTCTTCTGTCTCCAACTCATGATAGCCTCTAGGTGGCGCCTTCATGACTACATACCAAGGGGATGAGTCGTCTTCTCTAGAATAAAAATCTTGTTTCGCTTGAGAGGGCATTATATACGGATCTTGGCGAAATGCTGTCTGATTGATATGCAGGTTTACAAGCGTGAAGCCATCCTCTTCCTTCAAACCATACCCTTTGTTGGCCCACTTACACTTGAAGAGTGGAATCTGGAACATATGATAATCCAGCAAAATTATTTCTTGTATGACTCCGTAGTACGTGACAACGTCTGCCATGTGATTAGTATCTCGAGCACTGGAACGACACATCGAGAAAGCTTCATAAGATACTCCACTGTTCTGAGTCTTTCTCTTTACATCCTCTGTGTGAAAGCGATTTCCATTAACTATGTATCCCCTATAGTTCTGAGCTTCATATCTTGGCCCAAAAGCTAACCACCGAAGCTTCTTAGGATGGTTTGAGTGACTTCGGATCTAATCACAAAACAAAGACAGAAACAAAACTGATTTTAAGTAAGATAGTATTAGATATGAAGAAATCCATAATATATGTATGTATCCGTTACTGTTTGTATTACCTTTTGTTTAATCCATTGTGTAAACCTTTTCCCATCCAATTTCCACAACAGAGCTTCATTTCTTCTACACCGCACATCCGCTGCTTGTAATTCTTCCAAGTGCATCCTATAATCGTACATTTAGTTTCCAAAGTATGAAACTTAATAAAAAAAAAAGGTTATTGATCTACTTACTCAACATATGGCGTGAACATTGCTGTGTTCATCAGAACATATCGATGGGCTATCTCACGCTCTTTTTCTGTAAGTGTAACGGCTTTGGCCTTGTGGATTGGTCTACCTTCAAGGATTTCCTCATTTGGTTCAAGGTCTTCATTACGGTTTGTATTTTCCCAGCCTTGTACATATGTCTTCAGAAACTCCAAACAGAAAGCAAGGCATTCACCTGCCATGTATCCATCGGCCATACATGCTTCTGGTCTAGCATAGTTTTTAACATATGACTTGAGTGTCTTCATGTATCTACATCTCAAACAACAAACATAGTAGTCAGTATTCTGAAAACGGAACAATGAAAAATAAAATCATTCAGATTATGAAGATATACCTCTCGAAAGGATACATCCATCTGAAGTGGACCGGCCCACCCAAACGTGTCTCCCTTGCTAAATGAGCAGGAAGGTGGAACATTATATCAAACAGTGAAGGAGGAAAAAACCTCTCCAATTGGCACAATGTTTCAATAACCTCTGTCTCCAATGCTACAAGCTTCTCCGGGTCAATCACACGCTGACATAATCGACTAAAGAAGTTGCATATTCTCTTCACAACAGTCCGAGGCCCAATTTGCAGCAATCCCCTCAAAGCTACAGGTAACAGGTTTTGTAGCAATACATGGTGATCAACTGAAACACAGTTTGCAATATTCGCACAGTACCCATCTGGTCCTCTAAACTCAGACAATCTCGTGCAAAACGTCTTTTTCTCAGTCTTCGACAGCCAGTAAGCAGCAGGTGGTAAATAGTTTCTTTTCCCACGTACTTGTGCGTATAAGTCTTCCCGAATTCCCATATCCTCCAAATCACGTCGCGATTTCAAGCCATCTTTTGATTTAGAACTTTGCATGATGATAGCCAATAAGGCATCAGACACATTCTTCTCCACATGCATTACCTCTATGTTGTGTCGTACATGCATATTCTAAAACATATGAACAAATAACTCAGTTAAAAATTATGAAGAAATTGAAATATTTAGTTGTTTAGGTGATATTCTTACCTTCCAGTATGGCAGATCAAATAAAATAGACCGCTTTTTCCATCTCCATTGATCACTGTCTTCATCATTCCTCATCAGAAAGCTCATCGTTTTCACACAAACCAGCTGATCTCTTTCGTTTTCCCTTCTTCGCTAAAGCTCTACCAAAATCGTTCCTCAAGTCTTTCAACTGCTCGAATATCTCAACACCTGACTGAATTCTAGGCACAGTCCCTTCTTCTACTGTGTTATCAAACCAACTCCGTCTGCGTCTGTAAGGATGCCCAGGCCGTAGTCTTCTCCTATTGCATAAGTAGACATGTTTTCTACTAAATTTGAGCCACCTGAAAGGTGTATCCTTTCCGCAGACGTTACATGCCTGTTTACCTTTGACTTTACAACCCGCTAATGTCCCTAAAGCAGGATAATCAGTGATTGTCCACATCAAAATAGCTCTGAGATTGAAAGTTTCCTTTGAGAATGCGTCATAAACCTCTATACCTTCACTCCATAGATCATGCAGGTCTTCTATAAGCGGCTGAAGATACACGTCGATGTTGTTGCTCGGTGCAGTTGGTCCAGGAATCAACATGGTGAGCATAATGTTATCCGCCTTCATACACATTGTAGGTGACATGTTGTAGTTGACTAACATCACTGGCCATGTACTATACTTCGTGTTCTGTATCGAGAATGGGTTCATCCCATCCGTAGATAAACCAAGTCGAAGATTCCGCTTCTCAGATGCAAATTGAGGCCATTTGTTGTTAATCTGAGCCCAAGTGAGTGAGTCACATGGGTGTCGCATTGTTCCATCTCCTGAAGCATTACTGAAATGCCAACACAGATCCTCAGCCATCCTTTTGGACCTGAACATTCTTCTGAATCTGTCCTTTATCGGGAAATATCTAAGAACCTTAGCAGGAATCCCATTCTTCTCCTCCCTTGTGTGCTTATCCACTTCCCATCTAGAAGCATTACATCTTGGGCAGCTTGTCAAATCCGCATACTGCTTCCGGTATAAGATGCAATCATTCTTGCATGCGTGAATGTTGTCGTAGCCAAATCCAAATATCTTCAAGAACTTCTTCATCCCATCTGTAGATGTTGGAAGGACATTATCCTCAGGTAGCATGTCGTGAACTAACTTCAGAAGCTGATCGAAATAGTTCTCTGACATTCTGCTTTTCACTTTTATCCTGTAAAGTGACATGACAGCAGACACTTTCGTGTGGTTAGGACATGTGTTGTAGAGCGGAGTTTCAGCATCTCGCAACTTTCTTGTAAACTCAGAATCTTCTTCATTTTCAGTAGCATCATTCTCATCTTTGTTACTCACGGGTACTGAATTGTCTTCTCCATCGAAGAAAGCAGTTTTGAACAACTCATATGCTTCAAATTCAGAAGTCTGCTCATCACCGACCTTCAAATCCCTTTTCTCCCCATGCTTAGTCCAACATCTACTCCTTTTGTACTTCTGATCCATGCCTCTAATGACCAGATGATCCAATGTCGTGGATAGAGGTTGGTGGCAAAGATTTCGGCAATCGAGACATGGACACAAGATGTTTGGAAGATCGCCTAACCTCTTAGCAGATCCGTTAACAAAATCTGTTGCTCCTTGCTCATACTCAAGGCTAGTCCTGTAACATATTAACAATGGCAAAATCAGTCAATGTTCACAAGAAAACTCAGTTTTAAGTGAAGGAATTGACAATAGTATAAAGTATACCTTGGAAGCCAAACCCAAGACTTATCCATTTCACACCACCACCAAAGCTGCACGGTCAAAGGAATACATACATTTGTGATAAACGGTTCTTACATCAGACGGTCCCAACGACGCAAAAACACATAGACACATACGAGATCATATGAAGAAGGGAGTAAAGTACCTTAAGATAAGTTGAAGATCTTCTTAACTATAATCTGCAAAGACATCAAAGCCACATGATGCAAATTAAAATTAATTAACAGTAATTTGAAACACCAAACTAGAACCGAAAAGACTTAAGAAAACCCAAAATTATAAATACCTTAGATCTAATCCAACACCCAACTATGACTGTGAAACCTGCCGAAAATGTTTTAGAAATAGTCATCAAAAACATCGACATGCATCTTTCTCTATAAGAAAACCCCCAAAATGTCACATACCTTAGGTTACAAATAGATCTTGAGCTGGCGACAATTTGCCTGTAAAATACATAAAATTGTCAAATTGTTTCTTTAAATTAATCATCTAGACACTCAAAATCGACATGACTTTCGACTAGTGATGAAATATAACCTTCAATCGAAATCAACGGAGACGAGACCGCTGCCGTGAGATACTTACGTCGATTTGAGAAACAGATTCCGGAGAAACGAAGACGGTGGGGAGATTGTTGCCGTGGGAGATCGAAATCAACAGGGAAGAGACCGCCGCCTTGAGATAACTTCGTCGATTCGAGAAATAGATCCCGGAGAAACCAAGACGGTGGGGAGATTGTTGCCGTAGGAGATCGAACGGTGAGTAGATTAATGCGTAATTGTGGCCGGCGGAGGGAAAGCGATAAGAGATTCAGAGGGAGATGAAAAAAACTTAGCGCTCGTTTTTTTTTCGTAAGTATACTTAGCCGGGAAGTGAAATAAAAATTTTCCGCTTATACTAAACATAGCGTTTGTTTCTTTAAGCAGGTTATTAAAATACGGTTTACATTAAAAAACAGAGGTTTTTTAAACACCAAACAAATACATAGCATAGACGTTTAATGAAACGCTATCTTAAATACATAGTTGGTTCAAATATTGCATTCACATAAAAAACGCTATCTTCTTATGCTATCTATACTCAATTTTCTTGTAGTGAAACCAAAGAAGAAGAAAAAACGAATAAAATGAGAATAGACCGAAGAAAAATAAACGAAAGAAGAAGATTAAGAATATCGTTTTACTATAATCACTATAATCATTCTAGGAAGATAAACTTTAAGAACTAATGTAACTTCTCCAGTAACAGGGCCTCTATGCCTTACGAGAAAATGTGAGAAAAGTTTGTAATATTTTTTTAATCAGAAATTATCATAATGAAATTTCTTTTATTATGGTGACTGATTATCAAAGAATTAAAATAATTAAAATTAAAATATAAAGAAATTTAATAATAAGAAACTAAAATTATAAAAGAAATTTTTAAAAATATTAAAAATAAAAAATAAAAATTGTAAAGTATTTGTATCTATGAACTTTTAAAGAACTGAAAATTAGAAAATTCATAAATGTTTTATAAATAAAAACATAAAAACGGAACCCTCGTGTAGTGCAGATAAAATACCTAGTTTATTTTAAAGTATTGGCAATTTAACGCGATAGGACTTAATTAGGATGGTTTAATTATGGGAAATTGATAATAAAAAAATTGGTGGCAAGAATAATACTCCAAGATATACGTCATCATATCACATGGCCATACTACATTATGATATGATTATAGGATACCAACTAAAAACCATTATCATGTTATACTAATAATTAATAATTTGTATTCCGAGAATATGAGTTAGATATTTATATGGAAAAGGAAAAATCCGAAATCGTATTATGATTTCTCTTCAAATGGCTTTTGAGAAGATTTAAAAAAAAATAAAAGTAAAAACAGTTTCTTACAGCCAAAATCTTTACGTAAGTACCAACACTTATACATGCACGTTCACATTCATATTCGCATCTAATCGTACATATATACAACCGATTGTGTCCACACTATACACGTACGTAATTACGTATGTTTGTCATGTGGGATAATGCGTTTTCCATTTTTTGAATTATTTTTATTCTCAGAGGATCACGTGAGGGAAACTTAATGATTGCTCACACCCAATTTGTCCTTTGTTAGATCACAGATACTTTGAAGTTAAACTTTTCTCTGTACTTTCTCTTGAAATACATCTTAAAAGTTGAATATAGTGTCTTCTCGTGTACTTCAGTACTCACCTCTCCAAGTGATGATTTAAAAATAACAAGAAAGTGGGACATGTTAGTTTAGTAAAGCCGTAAAGGATATATATAAGATGCATGTCGAGTATACGTATATTTCTGTTGATTTTATTAATTTATTAGATACATTAAGTGATATATTATGTGATAGAGAGTGAACTTAAACATAAAAACATCACAATAACTAATAAGAATATGACTCTATCTTATCCTAATAGTTGTTGAAATAAGAACACATTATATAAAGCTTTTGTTATCTTATTTTCCCAATATGGTTACTTCAAATTAAATTATTCTCTTATAAATGTAGCAATATCACAGTCGCTACATACTAATAGCATGTCAGTATACAAGAAAGTTAGACGTGTGCGTCTATTTCTAACCAAACAAGATAAACAAAGTTATCTCAATTCTCAAGTGTTTGCATCGCAAGATTTAGGTCGACCAGACAAAGAAATATATGGTCAAACTCTACTTTTGCCTCAAGAACAAAATATGGCAAAAAGGGAATGTAATGGGTGATTGATGAGATCGACCATATAAAAAATATGGAAATCAAAAGATATATAGAAGACTATATATAACACCTTGATCACCCATTCCGGTGAATCACCAGCCATATCTTGGCCAGTGGGCTCCACCCCTGTCTGATGGCCGGTTTGCTATTTTTGAGAGGCTTTAGAGACTTGTTTACTATTCCTGCAATCAACACTCGATCTTTCTCCATGTTATGGCTTCACTTACATAGTTTTGGAAATCACTTTCCGGAAGGTCATCCATTCTTCCACTACTCCAGCCCAAGCACGCTTAACTTTGGAGTTACTTATCCACCTTTGACCGAAAAGGTAAGTGTACTTTTTTTAAACATATGTAGCCAAATCAATTCTTTTAAGTTTCTTCTCATTTATTACAAACCGAGATGTTACACTATAATTTATCAATATCTTACATAATGAAATTTAGTTATCTATATTAGTTTAGGAAATTAAGTTGCTTCTATCTGTATATAATAAGTCAATGCATGTTGCACTATTATTTTCACGATAGTCTAATTATAATTTTTCTTAAACTTATTTGTGTTATTTACTCGTATCAATTTACCATGGTATCAATGTCAGTGAATAACGCATAAGTAAAAAGGTGTGATTAATTTTGCTTGGCCAAAATCTGTTTTTGCGTCTGCGTCTGGTAATAGTTACGACTTACGAGTGACCTCAACAATATTTGTGAATGGCTTACTTTCTGTTGTGAGAAAAGAAGAAGAGAAATGAGCTTATTCATTCATTGGAGGTGATGATCCTATATATATGATTACAAGTAGGGTTTATGTAGAGTTTGTGTTAGGGAATAAGATGGGCCTAATGGGCATCCACTTATTTACCCATAACACTCCCCCTTGGATGTCCATTATACAAAAATACATTCTAAATACATAAATGCTGCCTCGTTAAAACCTTTACTAGGAAAACCCAATGGGAAAAACCTTAGCTAAGGAAAAAGAGTGCATCGCGCAATTACTCCCCCTCATGAGAACATCCGTCACAATCAGATAACCTCTTTCCTTGAAAGTTGTAGTTGAAAACTCCTTGTCAGGTAAATCTTCGAAAATCTTCAGTCTTGAACAATATTTAGACATTGATATCGCCATTCTTCGTAGTGCATGGAATGTAGTTGATGATTCATCTTGATCATTCTCTTTGTTTCATTGATCTCATAAATGGATGAGAAGACTTTGGAAAGAATAACTTTCATCTTTAGACTTCCTTTAGATATTTCTCATTTGTGTGTTCTTTGTTGCCTCATTAAAACCTTTCATGGAAAAACCCAATGGGATAAAAACCACAATAAGGAAAAAGAGTACAACCACACATATCATCTTATATCTCCCCTTGGAAGCATCTTCTTCAAGAGATGCATTCCAATAATAATATCATCTTTTGGAGATTGCTATGAGTATAACCTCAATAAAAGTCATTTGAACTTCTAGTATATGACATCTATTTCTATAAACAATCATTTCTTGTTATATTTGGACTTCTGGCCAAACTTTCTCTTTATATACATTCTTGTAAATGTCTATCTTGTATATATGAGTTATTCATGCTCATTTTGTTCTCATCTTTCAGTTATGAAAGAGACCAACACATTTCTCAAATATAATTTAAAGTGTGGTACTTCAAGACCAAATGTGAGCATTTTTAATGCAAATCTTACAAGGATCTTTTGAGATATATCTCTTTTGTTAAACTGTGAATATGAGATATCTTAAGACAAATTTGTCTTTCCAATATCTTTTATCTAATTTCAACAATTCTTCAGGAATTTCGATAATGTTTAGATTAAAGATCTCTTTTGATCCAATAAATTTTTATAAATATACACTGGGTATATAACACTTTTGTGATTGTACCCCACTGAGACGTATTTCTCTTCATTTGATCAAATAATTAGAGTTCTTGGGAACATAGTTTTGATATCATTAATCCTTCAGGAATTATATCCTTCAGGGACTTTTATAAAAATGTCATTATTTAGTGGGTCTTAAGACTCAAGTTCTTCTTTCATTGCCACACTTAATGAACTTGAAAGTTGCATCCACCACATGCCTATTATAACCCACTTGTTTTACACTTTTAAGATGTAAGGACTTCTGGTCCAAATACATTTCTCTTTCTAAGAGATTTTAGTTTTGTGTCTATTGCTTCTTTTCGATTTGGCCAAATCATTACTTTGTGTACACAATGCAATAGACTTTGTTTCATGATCCTCTTTCTCATTCATAA